GATGGATTTTTTTTCCGTCATGATTTTTTATTTCGATAGATTTTTTTTTTTGCTCTTGTTTTTTTTATTTTTTTACAGTTGCGGTGCGTATTATGGATTTTTATTTGACATTTTTTGAGGCTGTAGAAAGAAAAGAAGAAAGAAGATATTAAATGGTAAATATGACATTTTATTTTACATGTTAGTTTATTGCTCCCTCCCCCCTCAGTATTATTAGGGTGAGGGGAGGTAGGTAGGGTATTTGTATTGGGGGGGGAGTGACTAGGAGCTTGGGGACCATGGGGACCATGCAATGCCTCTTTCCAGATAATTTATCAATACATAATTTGAATAGAAGCGGCCCCAAAACAGAAACCAGAGGGACACTACTTACCACTTTTTACCAGCTTAAAAATTTACCAATAATGACAATTCTCTGTACGCTATCTTTTAGCCAATGTTCTGCCCAAGAACAAACATTTTCATCTAGACCAATTTCTTTTAGTTTGAAAACTAACTTATTGTGTGCATCTGTATTGAATGCCTTGGAAAAATCCAAGTAGATCACATCCACTGCAGCACCCGGAGCTATACTTTTACTTTCTTCTTTGAAAAATGCAATTAAGTTACTTTGACATGACTTGTGTTTCACAAGCCATGTTGATTTGTGCTAATAACAATGTTATTCCCAATGAAATCCTGAAAAATATCCCTTAATAACAAATCTCCCAGCCACATGAGTAAAGCTCACAGGTCAATAATTTCTAGGCAAAAATTTTGAACCCTTTTTAAATATAAAAATATAAATATAAAAAAACCACACCTGCCTGCCTCCAATCCTCTGGTACATTTCTGAAATAAAAAAAAGCTTAAAAGCTTAAAAACAGAGGATCTCTTATTTACACACTTAGCTCCTTAAGTACTCATGGGCGAATACCATCAGACCCTGGGGCTTTGTTTACATTAACTTTCTTTAGTTGCTGTAGCACTTTGTCTTGAGTCTTCCAATCACTACAGATCCAGATGTATATTGCACTTCAGATGAGAATATATCTTCTCCCCAGAACCGCTTGCAATTGGGAATTAGCAAGTTGGCAAGTAGACACTCATAAGAGATCCCTCTTTTTTGACAATATCAACAATTTGATGTATATCTCCAGGTTTTGCTGAAAATATAGAAAAGGTAACACAATATGTATGAGATATTTTTTAAATAAAGATTATATCATTAGGAAAACCTCAAAAGTTATAGTGCCACTTTAGAACAATAAATTGTCATTCAGTGACCACTGCTAATGGCTTTAGTTGTCATATTGATTTATTAGACACAAGAGTGACAGTAGGAACATAAAAAGTTCCAACAAAACCCCGGCCGCAAAAATATATGGCTAGAAGTATCTCTGTATAAACTTCCTAAATAAGAAACAGAAAATACTTAATCTTTCAATAACCCATATAGTTCTACACATTATTAACTGGATCTGTGATTAAAAAGACACTCTAGGCACTGTGCCTGCTTCATTTTATTAAACTGGCTATAGTGTCTTGAGTCCCCTGGTACTGTGATTTCATTCAGCATTATAAACAGTGTTTAATATTTTTATTGTGTTATTGCTTTGGTTATACGTAAGTATTCACTTGAGCAGCAATGATAGCTGTGGTTGAATGAGAGCTCAGAGCTCCAACTGATGGTATGAATTGGTATGACTTCAAGGAAGTGTGGATCTCTGTCTAAGCCACACCTCTAGAAGGGGCCAGACTCTGGGTGGCCAGAGACACTTATTTAGCGTTAACCTGCTCTAAAACAGTTTAACACTGAATGGAGGGACAGTGTTAGGGAACTCCAGGCACTATAACCAATTCAAAAAAGATGAAATGGATATAGTGGCTACAGTGTCCCTTTAATAATTCCAGTGCCATACATACTGTACAAGTGTATTTATATTGTAAAGTTCACATTATCTATTTGATGGCCCACTTCACATCTGTCAATCACAGCATGGCTTGACCTTTAAACTACTTGATAGCATGACTTTTATTATTCATCATTTGAAACCTGTATTTAAATTAGTAATGATTAGATTACTCCCTGTTTGTGATCCTGGCCAGATTGTTATGTTTCAGTGTTACTTCATTTACATTTTTTAATTTGAAAAACCTGCATGTAAGCATTTTCTTATTCACCAGGGCAATGAATACAGTATTACAGATTATCTACGTCAGCTGCCAGTGTGTGACCTGTTCACATCCCTCACCTACTTGTGCGAGAAATGACTAATAAATATTCGACAGCTGCTGCTAACTAGAATAAAGTTTTGGCACTTGCAGTTGTAAATGCATCTTATTTCTGCTTTTTGTTAGTATTTTTGTGGCATGTTATTATATGCCATGATAACATAGAAAAGACACATTATGCTGATAGCTGTAGGCTGGTATTCCCATGATACTCACATGTTTATTCCACAAGTAGCTCTACATTAATTTAATAGGATTTGAAGTAAAAAAAAAAAGACAGCATATGAGCTACTGCATAAACAGCAACCATGTGAAAGTTCAAAATAAATGTAAGGTTTTGTGGATAAGATGTCAAAGACATAGCAGTTGGGCTCATTAAAAATTGATTTCTAGTTCGAGACTGACAGTCCTTGTATTCTTTTTTTAAGTGATGAGCAACTGTAGGGTTCGATGATCTCACCTGCTGGTCAGGATTCTTGTCGTCCCTTCTTGTAGGGATAATACTGGTGTGGTCATTGTTTAGGTGATGCATTTTAACCAATGAATATTAGTTGACACATGTTCATGATGGGCCACATACACGACTGTTCATAAAAAATGATCATGTATATGTATCTGTTTTACCTGTACAAGCTACATTATTCATAGTTATAAGTTGACTTAATTGTGTGTCATCAACCCATGCTATGTAATAAATGTATATGCTATACATTTGCAATTTAAGTGCAGTAAGGACCCAGTTCTGCCTTAGAGTCTGAAGCCCTTTGCACTGCATTGTATCAGATAGCTCTAATTAACTAGATGCTCTCTTTCTATTTAGAAGTCTATGTTTTCCTGGCACTATAGTGGTCCTTTAAAATAACATAAAATACATAAAAATTAAAAATACAGTTGAGCCATAAAATAGCACTAGATGGAATCTTTGATTTTAGCTTTGGAAGAACATAAATCAAAATCTAAAGCATGGCTGTCAGGAGGATCACCAGAATTATCCATTTGAGAGAGGGTTGGAGTGCAGGGTATTTGCTTTCATTCTTCAAACTGAGCTCAACTCCTGCTATTGTGTATATAGTTTATACTAAGTGACACATAGGTTGAGGAGGCGGTGATCGTGGCGGTGTAGGTGGAAGCGGCGGTGGAAGAGGAGGAGGTAGCCAACACTATTTTTTATTTGTTTGTTTTTTTTTTTTTTAATTGGGGTAGCCCCCAAAATATTGGGACATATAAAAAAAAGAAAAATTTGCGGCCTGCGGTGCATTTCTTGCAGTCCAATAACGCCATCAGGTTTTTAAAACTGTCCGTCTCCACCAGACGGAATGGCAGCATTTTAAAGGCCAGGAATTTTGAAATGCTGGCATTCAGGACCAGGGATCGTGGGTGGGTATGGGGGTACTTCCTCTTTCTCTCCAGTATTTGGAAGATGGACAGCTGAACGCTTCTATGGGACAGTGTGGAGATGCTTGGGGACGGTGGCGGACGTGGTGGCGTTGCTGCCACATCCTCTGTTTGCAGGGTGGCAGGTACCACTGTCACTCCAGAGGTGGAGGAAGAGGCTGGGACAGCAGCAGAAGCGGAAGCAGGAGGAGCCTGAGACCTTTCTTGGTTTTTTGAGGTGCTTACTCCACTGCATCTCCTGCTTTGCATGTAGATGCCTCGTCATGCAGGTTGTGCTCAGGTTTAGCACGTTTATGCCTCACTTCAGGCTCTGATTGCACAGCGTGCAAACCACTAGTGTCTTGTCGTCAGCACATTGTCTGAAGAACTGCCACGCCAGGGAATTCCTTGGAGCTGGCTTTGATGTGCTCGGTCCCTGGGTGCGGTGGGCAGTAGCAGGCGTACTTTCTAGGGGATGGCCGCTCCGCTTTTGCACCCTGCTCTAGGAGGAGAAGGTGGATGTGGAGTAGGAGGTTGAGGAGGCGGTGACCATGACGGTATAGGTGGAAGTGGCGGTGGAGGCGGAGGAGGTAGCCAACACTGTTTTTTTTATTTTTTTATTGGGACATATAAAAAAAGAAACATTTGCGACCTGCGGTGCATTTCTTGCAGTCCAATAACACCATCAGGTTTTTAAAACTGTCCGTCTCCACCAGACGGAATGACAGCATTTCAAAGGTCGGGAATTTTGAAATGCTGGCATTCAGGGCCAGGGTACTTCCTCTTTCTCTCCAGTGTTTGGTAGATGGACAGCTGAACGCTTTAATGGGACAGTGTGGAGATGCTGGACAATTGTGTACCTGGCCTATGCTGGTGCAGGAACCCACCCTCCGAGCCACTTGTGAATGACTGGCCTGATAACCGTGGAAATGACCCCTCTTCCTCCTCCTCTTCCTCCTGTGCCACATCCTCTTCCATCATCGCCCAAAGTGATTTTTAAGGAGACATAGAAACAGGATAGTAAGGCTGAGAACTGCATCAGCGGCACTGGCGATGTTGGTGGAGTCCTCGAAACAGCGCAACATGGCACACAGGTCTTGCATGGAGGCCCATTCATTGGTGGTGAAGTGGTGCAGTTCCGCAGAGCGACTAACCCGTGCTTGCTGCAGCTGAAACTCCGCTATTGCCTGCTGCTGCTCGCACAGTCTCTCCAGCATGTGCAAGGTGGAAGTCTACCTTGTGGGCACGTCGCATATGAGGCGGTGAGCGGGAAGGCTGAAGTTACGCTGCAGCGCAGACAGGCGAGCAGCAGCAGGGTGAGAACGCCAAAAGCACGCACAGATGGCCCGCACTTTCTGCAGCAGCTCTGATAAATCTGGGTATACACCGTGGCGGTGTAGGTGGAAGCAGTGGCAGTTGAGGAGGAGGTAGAAAACACTGTTTTTTATTATTTTTTTAGTTGGGGTATGCCCCAAAATATTGAGACACATAAAAAAATTTTTTAAAAATAAGTGCGCTTGAGTATAACAATGGCTGGGTGAGGCCGATATAAATGTCTATTCTGCACAAGGTACAGACAAGTCTGGTAGGATCCATGCCTGGTTCATTTTAATAAACGTGAGCTTGTCCACGTTGGCCGTGGACAGGCGGCTGTGCTTGTCTGTGATAACTTCGTGCCGATCGCACATCCCCGTGACGGCGACAACGCATTCGAATGTCTGCCCTATGAACTTTCGATGCTATTTTCCGCGCCTACCATGGTGACCACGGGTAGCGGGGAATCAGGGTTCGAATCCAGAGATGGAGACTGAGAAACTGCTACCACATGCAAAGAAGGCAGCAGGCGCTCAAATTACCCACTCCCGACACTTGGATCAATTGGAGGGTCTGTCTGGTGCAGAGTGAATGACCCGTGCGTGCTGCAGTTGAAACGCCACTATCGCCTGCTGCTGCTCGCTGAAGCTGCATTAGGGTCCTGGTATGTGGCCGCACAAACGCTGGTGCTCAACACCAGGGGTGTGCCGTTACCCTGCACCAGACCCTGCTAATCTATTCCACACTGTGACTCCGACCGCCGCCCAGACAGTGTCTGGGTCCCGGTCACGGAACTGCCCCCCTGACTGTGAAACTGGCTCGTTAAATCTGTTATGGTTCCATCTGTTACTTGGATAACTGTGGGAATTCTAAAGATAATACATGCCGACGAGCGCTAGGGGACAGCCGCTCCGCTTTTGCGCCATGCTCCCTCTTATGCTGTGCTGGTGCCGCTGTGCGACCAGCACCTCTTCCTCCAAACTGCACACGTCACTCGCATGAACTTCATTCCACGTTGTTTTGGTGTTTGGTTTTTAACTTTGTAGTTGTGTCTTTACACAATATAGAAATGTATATTAATGCTTCTGTATATGAAGCGATCACAATAACACTTATTTTTCACTTTTTTAAAAAGTCTTTAGACTTTTTGAGAAGCAGTAACTAGCCAGTGTTGCACACATACACCAGATATGAAGGCACCAAATTGACTTTTTAGCACATAAAGAATTTGAATGTTTAAAAATGCACTGTAACCACAGTATTTGACGGTTTTATTTGACTCTCAGATATGAGGTGCCCGCCCCAAATTTACTTTTTAGCAGCTAAAGAATTTGAATGTTTAAAACTGCAATATAAGCACAGTATTTGACGGTTCTATCTGACTCTCAGATATGAAGTGCAGGCACCAAATTTACTATTTAGCACCTAAAGAATTTGAATGTTTAAAAATGCGCTGTAATCACAGTATTTGATGGTTCTATTTGACTCTCAGATATGAAGTGCACGCCCCAAATTTACTTTTTAGCATCTAAAAAATTAGAATGTTTAAAACTGCAATGTAAGCACAGTATTTGATGGTGTAATTTACTCTCATATATGAAGTGCAGGCACCAAATTTACCATTTAGCATCTAAAAAATGTGAATGTTTAAAAATGCGCTATAACCACAGTATTTGACGGTTCTATTTGACTCTCAGATATGAAGTACACGCCCCAAATGTACTTTTTAGCAGCAAAAAAATTTAAATGTTTAAAACTGCTATGTCACAGCAGTATTTGACGGTTCTATTTGACTCTCAGATATGAAGTGCACGCCCCAAATTTACTTTTTAGCACCTAAATAATTGGAATTTTTAAAAATGCGATGTAAGCACAGTATTTGATGGTTCTATTTGACTCTTAGATATGAAGTGCACCGCAGGTCGCAAATGTATTATTTAGCACCAAAAAGTTAGATTTTTTTAAACCAACAATGTAACAGTAGTATTTAAGGGTTTTATTGGATTGCAAGAATTGCAGTACGCAAATGCACTATTTAGCACCAAAAAAATTGCAGTATTTAAAAATGCCTAGATATTGCCCACTGAGCTACCAGAACAGGATTAAAGTAATGTGCCTGGCACACATGCAGTTGCAAGTGCACTGCACTCTCTGTGGCACTGGGCTCAGGGCAGGGTACAAAAATGTAGTATTATAGCACCCACAAAAATAATCGCTGTAGTTTGAATAATCGCTGTAGTTTGCAGATTCAACACCAGAATTCTTTCCTAATCTGTCCCTAACAGCTGCAGCATCCTCTCCCTACACTAATAAGAGATATTGTGCGTGCAGCGCTATGCGACTCCAGCTTATATATAGAGGCTGGGTCACATGCTGCACTGGCCAATCACAGCCATGCCATTAGTAGGCATGGCTGTGATGGCTTCTAAGGGCACACGAGTCAAACGCTTGTTGATTGGCTACCCTGCAGTCTTTCAAAACGCGCAATTAAATTGCCGAATACCAACTCCAACCCGAACATACACTGATATGTCCGTGTTCAGGTGCGGGGTCCAAAAAACGTAATATTCGGTACGAACTCAACTCTACTCAGCACTGCTCTCTAGAAACTATAAAGCCACAGATTTCACTTGCATCAACATAGGCAACACCCATGCCTCCCAGCAGGTGAATAAAATATTTGTTCAGCATGTTACTACTATGGTACAGTAAAGAGAAACAGAAGAGTGATTATCCAGTTAAATTAGGTTTTGTGTCCCATATTTTAGAGCTGACAATGTTCATTGTCCTCGCCTTGCAGTAACTGCTGTAACTGCTGTTGTTGTATCCTGTGCTTCTGTTGTTGTTTTTAGGTTTGAGTGTGAAGTTTCAGTGATCTTGTTGCTGATTACAGTGATCCACTCAAGTATAACTGTCTAACACGAGATGTGTTGTCTATCCAACAACAACATATGCTAGCAAGAGCTCAACAGCCATATTATTAGTTAGTTATGTTCACTGAAAGAACTTTAAAATTGTTGACTCAAATTATTATTATTATTATTATTTTATGATGTTATTATTTATGTAGCGCCAACAAATTACATTTTACTGTCAAAAAAAAAAAAAAAAGATGGGGAGATACTTTTCAGCTAGAACCAGTTAACCACAGCCATACATAAACAGGTGGAGTAATTATTTATTCTGTAAATACATACAGCTACTACAGCTCCACCTACTGACCAATAAGTCAAGCACACACTTGCTATATGATGAACAATATTGTAAGTATTATATCACACAGGTAGTGCTACTTAGGACACCAACAAAAAGTTCTGCTCATGTTTTCCACTATATGTGTTCTCTTGACATGGCATGGTGGAAAAGGTAGTTATGGAATGGAAAAGACAGGCACAATTTAAAATTGGAACTTACCTTAAAAAAACATTAAATACTGAAGAAGATAAGCATAGCAATATATAATTCATATTCTTTTAGGACATTTAATACTGATTTATTGCTTGTTTACATCAGTTAATTAATTCATTACTCAACATATTGTTAAATAGAGTGGATTAAAGTCCAATGAGATCCCATAACAAATGCAAGGGACAATGAAGTGAGCAGAGACCTGTTAGAAGGTCACTGTACTCTCTGACCAACCCAACTCTTTACAGACAGCAGGTAAAATAGGTTCCCAAACTAATAACAATATTTACCAGTCATACATAAGGTTCTGTCCATCCTGGTGACCTTGTTGAATAGGATCCATGGTTCCAGTAGCACTGTATTAATGAAATGTTCGGTAATGGACCACTATTTGCAGATCTGAACACAAGCAATTGTTCCATTTATAAACAGTACTACTTCTTAGAGTGTCTTTATCTCTTCCCACTCTTCAGGCTCTCTCCTAATTAATGTATGTCTATGGCCTTATGGAGTAGCATGGCCTTGACCAGTACTAGATCTTTTTATCTGTATTAATTATATTATTGATACTATATACTATAATTACTAACCCAATTATCTAGCATGTAAGCTCTTTGAGCAGGGCCCTCAACCGCCTCTGTTCCTGTACGTCCAGTGGTCTGATCTCAGTTATGTGTCTGTTAGTCCACCCATTGTACAGCGCTATGGAATTTGTTGATGCTATATACATAATATAATAATAATAATAATAATTAATAAAACCTTCAGATGTAACTGAAAATGGCAGCTTATATCAGGCATTTACTTCATCTTACTGAATGAGGCTCTGAGAGAGAAGCAACATTAAAATATTAGTATTATAATTGTAATATCTATGAGGGCAAACATTATTTTGAAACTTAATAAGGTGAGCTAAAGCATACAGACAACACACAGAGTTACTTGTCCTGATGAATAGATTCATTCCCTTCAGGCTTTTTTGCTTTAAACATTGTCCTTTCAGAGAAAATGCAGTGTTTACATTACAGCCTGGTGATAAATCCTCTAGCCACTCATCAGATGGCTGCTAGAGGTGCTTCCTGGGGCAGTCCTGCCTAGTGTGCAGCACTGCCGTTCAGTGTATCCACTCTCTGCATGCAGACACTGAACTTTCTTTATAGAGATGCATTGATTCAATTCATCTCTATAAGGAGATGCTGATTGGCAAGGGCTGTTTTTTTACTTCTGTTGGCTCTGCCCCTGATCTGCTTCCTTGACAGTCTCAGCCAATCCTATGGGGAAGCACTACTTCTGATGATATCAGCAGAAAGAGGCAGTTCACATGCAAACAGGGCTAGATGTTCAAGCTGCAGACTTGAATACAAGTAAGATTTTACTATATTTAGGATGACAAGAGGGGACAAGGGGTACTAGATAGTGGTTTTAACACCATATGTTCAGAAATATATGTTTGTGTTCCTGATCTTATAGTGCTCCTTTAAGTTACAAACAGATTATGCAATTATTATTATTTATGTAATATCTAGTATGTTTAAAATAAAACCATTTAGTCAGGAAGAGTGCATTACACTTACATCCTAAGGGCTTAGTGTCATTATTAAACCACTTAATGTTCGCCATTTTATTGACCTCAGAAAAATTAAAGGGGAATTGACCTTGTTGTCAGGAAGTGCACAGGTCCACTGACAATAAACCTATTTAAGACCGCCCTGTTAGTGAACCTGGGCACTCTAAATGAGCGGACACCAGCCTGTCATGCTCCTGTGCCTTGCACGTTTCTTCTAACTATTTTTTCAGGTCTCAGAATCTTCACCTCACCAGGATTTCTCAAAATCTACAAATTTGATTCTTATACTCACCTTGTTTTCTGCATTTCTCCATTGGACTGAAAATATTTCCAACTCAACTGATGAAAACTAAATTAACTCTCTTTTGCACTCAGCTTCAGCTAACCAGTATATCAGCCCGTATATTTGTTTCTTCCATATGGGAATTGCTTTCTGCAGAAATCACTGACTTGCCTCAAGATTTGAGTAAATCCCCATTTTTTTTTTACTTTCTTACATTTCAACAATCTGCCATGAACTTTGTTGTTTTCCTATGGCAAATTTTTACAACATAGTA